GCGCAAGTCTACCGCAAACCTAGCGCCCGGCTTCAGAATAGGTGTGTTTAGCTGGGGGCCCGCTACATAATCTAATTGAAAAAACAACATCGTAAGCTACTTTCGACCCCTGTATCTAGTGTTTTTGATTGTAGACTTTTGGCCGAATATATCTTTATATAGAGAGGTTGCTGCTCTTGGTGCACACTACCGAAGAATAGTAATAAAAAGAGAATTACCAAGGGCTGAACTTTCACCCCAGTCAATATGTGTTTTGCAAGGAAGGCAAACTGAGGAAATGCAAAGTTTTGCAAAGAAACCATTCACAATTGCAAAAGCCGGCCTCGCTGCACCACCTGCCAAGGGCCCACACCACCAAAATCAAGTCCAATTCCTTGATTTTTCTGGAGATTCTTTGGATCCTAATGATGACTCTTTATATTACAGTATCTATAATAACCATCCCCCCTATCTCAGGAGGCTCAGTCTTGGCAATCAGCACCCCGCTCCCCATGTCACCTACGGCCACACCTCCGGCTCCGCTCCGCCCCCGCGAGAGGTCGATGGAGCTCGAGGAGACGCTGTCCTGACCGTGGAATTGTGTGGGGACTGGAAAACGTCTTGAAACCTTAGGCTTCCAGTGAATAGCAGGACTTTCTATGTGACAAATCTAGAGGTGGTCTTTTCTGGGTGCAACTGGGGAGTTGACTCTTGGCTGTAAGACTTGGTGTGACACTTGAGGATGCTGTATATCACCAGCGTGTAGGTTTTTACTGCAGTTGGCCCCACATTGCAGCGAATAATGAGTTCAGACATATATTGCTGGGGAAAACGCCAACGTTCAAAAAAGCAAGCTGGAAGAATACAAGTGAGCAAATGGATCTGCCTCTTGTAACGACCTTCGGTCTCCCCAACTCCTCGTCAAAAGACAGTTCGTGGTCAGACGGCATGAAGGATCGCCGTGCCATTGCTGATCCCGTGGGTGCCGCGGAAAAGTCCACAGCACCAATCGCGGTGGCCAGCTGTGTGTCTTGTGGTTTTGGGGATCCGACTGTCTGAGGCTTTTAATGGTAGTAACAAGAAGCTATTAGGAAGTGGGGCACTTCCGAATGGATCCGGAGCCGCACGGCGAACGGGGTGCAATTTGAGGTGGGTCCCATGGGGGCACTCAAACGCCGTAAGAAGCCTTGCGTTCATTCGGCCACCAAGCCATTGCACTTCACCATATCACCACATTGTGCTTCACCACCGGCAAAATCACCACATCACAGGCCACCCCACACTACATCACCCCATCACAGAACTCCTCACATTCTATTGGTTTACCTCTTGGGGGGGGGGGCATTTGCAACTGGAGATGGGTGAGTGGCCGCAGATTTCATGAAGATACTGTATGTTGTCTGACGTGCCCTCTTCGGAAATCATGTGCTTGTGGCAATGGCACTCACCCACATCAAAACTTCAGTGCAATTCATTATGTGTATTTATCTGCAGGTGTCGTCAGCAGCTGCTCATGAGATTTATATTCGCTGTATACTTTGGCTCAACTGACCCGCACACGGAGAGGCCTTGGAAGAAGGCAAGGCACATGTATTGACAGATTATCCTGACAAGCGCTGCCTGACCGATGCGCTGACGTTTGTTCTGGCATCAAGCCTAGTATGCATTACGTTGGTTCTGACACATCATCTAGCATGGAAGGTTGGCAAAGGCCGTCAAGTCTCACATGTCTTCTGATTCTAACATGTGCCCCTGGCATCAAATCTGGCATGTGTTCTGAGATGTGTTGAGATTCTGTTATGACATGTGTTCTGTCTGCCCGTTGTTCGGCCTATGTGTTCTGCCACCTATTCTTGACATTTGTTCTGGCGTGTCTGACAAGTGTCCTCACATGCGTTCGATGTATCCTGGCACCTGTTCTGACATTTGGCATCCCAGAATTGGCTCAGCTCCGTTCCAACAGCCCAAATCGCCGAGACCGCCCAAGTGCCGGAACCGGTCAACGTCCGGAAGGACGGAAGGCAAGGCGGGCGCTGGGAACATCAAATCTAGAGGCATTCACCTGACGGGTGGGGAGACCTCACACCTTGCAGGTGTGATAGCAATCATGCACTCATATATAGCGCCCTGAACCAAAACTTCACGAGTGGTGAGGTCGACAAACTGTTAATTGTGAGGGCTCTGGCATCGGAAACAAACAAATCACCACATTCACCACCTCATCGCACGTATGTCATGAAAACCATAATTACAAAAAACTGACCGCTCACCCTATAGAAGCATGCAGTGGCTTCCTTGCAGCACAAAACAAACTCACACATCACATCACATCACAAACGCGTCACATCAAATTGATCGCAACACCGCAACCGCAACGTGTCAAATCATGACTTTAACTTTGCACTTCATCTTCAACGGCCTTCCTATGGGTAACGAGATCAACATTGGCAGAAATTTCCCCTTGAATGTGGACAGTACCTGGTACGGCCATGCTGCAGAACTCGGCTTTAAGATCACAACCATTGACAGTAACAAGGCTTGCAAGGCCCACCATGTCGGATGTCGCCTTCAATGAATTTATGAATTTAATGCAGCTCAAGCCAAATAGCCACGATCCGGCAAGGCAACTCAATCTTCTACGTAATTCTTATACGTGAGAAATAAGTTCGCCGTTTCAGCAGGCCCTTTGGGGAACAAGTTTGTTCATTACTAGTAGCAATTTCGATGTAAACTGCACACAGGAGAGGGTGCAACAAAACGAACGCCTCTCTTTGGAAACATATTTGCTACCAGTACCATCACATGGCACAACAATGACAATATCATTCTGTTGCCACTTCAGGCTGCACTCTACAGCCAAGCTGTTTTATGGCCATTTTGAGCACAAGTTTGTTCACGGCTGATGTCCTGTTTGATTCATGTATGAATGACATTGCGGAGCACGGGGTGTTTCGCCTCTCTCTCTCTCTCACCTTTGACCCACATTCTGCTGCTTGCTTTTTCGGGCCATCCATTGAAAACACCGCGGTGCAAAATTTCCGGTGTTGGGTCAAAGTAGCAAAACAGCCAGTTGCTTTCATTTGATGCAACACCGGAAGCTTTGCCGTTTGTGGCGTTCGCTGCAGGGACTGCCAAAGAAGCGCAATGTTCAAGCTCAACTTCTTCACCATCCAACCACATACAAGGCACACCGTTTCGACGTACCGAAAAAGGCCCAAGATCGCGAGCAACCCTGAGGCAACTGCCAGGACGATTTGAGGATCGTGGCAAGGGCTGCAGGTAGAATCGAATTGAAGGCTAAGAGCGCTGTCAGCGGCGAGTAAGACATTTACGATCTCAGCATTGTTTCACCGTAGGTTCTGCTCGAGCGGTGTCAAAGACGCAACTTGCTTATGTTCCAGCTGATTTCAATACCGAATCCTCCATCATGACTTGAAAGCGACCAAGGGTTTCTTCTGCTGTCTCAGCATAATTCGAACTCATATCTCTTGTGCCCACCGCACGCAATCAAAACTTGCAGGTGGTTGCCTCCAATGCCAGGCCTGTCTTCGGCAAACCTCCGCAAGCATCTGCGTCCAACACAGCATGCTGCAGCATATGGATGCTTAAGCAAATCCGCGACAGTGAAACCGGGGTGTTGACTTGGCCAAGTGCAGTGAAACTCACCAGTTGCAAAACAAGTCTGGGTCCAGGGATCCAGCCCAAACAAAGCGCGACAAGACAGGAGAGGCACGCATGTCACCAATTGTCACCAACTTCAACTGACTTCAACCTTAATATGTCCGGTCCAGAGACTGTCTCAGTTTGGATGCGTTCAAGCTCAACTCCAGTGGTTGGGCTGGACACATTAAGCTCGACATGGGCTCTATATACAGCATCGGGTCTCTGTCAAAATCTTCCCATTGGCCACACATGCCTCCTCTGCATCCGCCACAGGCTGCTGCAGCCACTTTTGGGATGTTGACACTCGGGTAACCAAGGAAGTTGGCTTTGCGGGCCAGCTTTGCGAAATCCAACACTTTCGGCCTTCTGCACGGCAGACAGGGGCGGAACTGAATCATCTGGTCTAATGGCAGGTATATAGATGCACTCATCCTGCTGACGGAACATGTGAACATGATTAGGCTGGAATGTGTTCCGATATGAGATGAAATCCGTGTGCCTGCATTCAACCTTCAGCTCTTCAGCTGTCAAGCATGACCATATGACCTTGCAAGCCTTGAACCATTGTATTGCCTGGCAGTCGGCACGGCCACATTTTAACCACAGCTTGAAATCAAGCTAGGAGATGCTAGGAGTACGGCCCTGGATGACCGTGTGCATCTTGTTTTCTACAGAATGTCTGCCTCGTGCGTGCTTTTGCGCCCACTGGCATTCATACCTTATCTGACTTTCATCCCCTTCGAAGTTAAACGGACAAGTCAGCCAAACGTCAACCCAATCCATCAACTCCTTTTGAATGGTCCTCTCACGGCCAGCTGCGCTTGCAAGGGCCTTGCAGGGGTTAGCTGTCCAAATGCTGCCTAAAGCCCGGTCATTGGTCGTAGGGTTGCCGCTTGTGTCATCATAGCTTGTTCAGAGACAGTTTCAATGTCCTGTGGGGAAGCCTGGCTATATGGCTTGAGGGGCAGAAAAAGGAATCCAGAGTCTAGGCAGGTCCACGGGCTTTAGGTTGGAGGCCATCGCTATCAGAAACAAACCTTCGGGCCATACCGAAATCAGGACTCTTCCGACTCTTCCCGTCAACTCCAACGACCTCCAATGGGGGAAGACACGTTGAGAAGCCTACGGTTTGGAGCCAATCTTAGTCTCAGGCCTTGTTTTCGCGTACACTGCACCACTGCTACGCCCGAGTTGCTTGCCGCAACACTCAAAAACATTAGAAATCTTAGGAGCTAGACTCAACACTGCCATTTGATAACTAAATAAATGACCTTTTGCAAGCGATCGGAGCACTCTGGGCGGCTTGCGTGCAACTCTGCGTGCTTCATTGCTGGGTCTCGAAGGTCGGGTGAGGAACCTCAAAGGCAATATTCCGGTTTGGCTGGAAATGTGCAGCCCCAATGCTGCATCACTGTGGCAGCTGCATAGCTGCCAGCCTGGGCCAACAGCAAATAAAAAGACAATACACACGCATATGTATATATATATAGTGTGATACACTTCCCCCAAAAACAAAATAATCTGTCAAAATAAAAAATGATTTCTTGCATTGCATGAGGGAAGCATGTGAACGCTCCAAATTGTCCAGCGGCATGAGGAAATACTCTACACTCTGCTACACTGATGCCTGGTCGGACTCGCGCCTGGCAACATGCAGCGATGGAATGCTTCCGTGCCATCGCTGCCAAGAAGCCGCCCACGAAGGCGTCCCCGGCACCATAGCTGTCCACAATCCTCGGAAGCACCAACATGTGGCACCCGTGACAGGAGATCTTGAAAAAGTGAGGGCATGTGAGGCCTTGGTAGGAGGATTGGGCCCATTAGGCCAGAACCCTCAAGTCTGAGCCATGCATCTCTGAGGTGACTAGGGGTGGTTTCCTTGCCGTCCTCTCAGCCGTTAGAGTGCACTTGCTGTGTCACTGTGTCCTGTGCTACGTGCATCCCCAGCAACAAAAACAAAGCATTGCAAAACCCACAGCCACCAGGTGACTGCTCTTCGGACAGCGGGACCACCTCATGCCGCGAGATCACACCGCGCACGGCCACCACGATGGGCTCGGCACCTGAGAAATGGGCGGAGCAGGGTGTGGCCCTCACCCGTCCCCACCCAGCCTTGAGTGATCACGACTTGGCGTGGCGGCTTGGTGGCCATGGGCACCAAGGACCTGAGTTCTTTTTCCGCCTGAATTCGGTAGCTCCCCGGATGGGGCCTCTGACTGAATCTGTGTGAACATTGAGGCCGTAGGTGATGTCATGATGCGATAGAAATGAATCATCCCACCATCTCCCAGGTGTCAAGGTGCACCAATGAACAAACAACCTTCTGCCACGTCACAAACGGGTCGCTATGAAGTCCACGTCTTGCGTCTCCCAGCCGGCTGCTTCAGCATAGGCTCTCGCTTCCTTGTCATGTGTTTGCGCCAAGAATGGGGTGGATCAATTGTTCAATGCGTGGCCATGATGACTGTATATATATATATATTATATATCAGTCAGCAGCAACGTCAATGAAAAGACTAGGATTCAGCATCAGGTCCAAGCCAGGCATCTGTCTGATTGCCAAACAGAACGTCACAGTAGGGCAGCGCTTTTTCCAACACAGCCCTATGGCTGGGCATTTGGACGAGTGCTAAGTTGAGGCAGTAGGTGCTCTTGCTCATCTCAGTGACCTCCCGGACAGCACGGCTCCCGTCGACGGCTCGACAGCTCAGGTTCGGCGCCTTCGAGGCCAGCTCCACGGACTCGACGGAGACGGGGAGAAGAGAACCAGAACAGTAGACCTGATGTGTGGTTTTTCAGCTTGGTTTGGAAATGTAAAACAGAAATGTATAACAGGGACTCCTCCCAAACATCATGACAAATCATTCCAAGAAAGGCATGCCATCAGCAAAGCCCGCTATGCAGTCCCCACAAACGCCCATTTCTGGAAGACGGGCGACAATTTTGGCAGACTTCAAAAGATTGAAGTTCCTCGGCTTGAATGCGGAGCCGCATGGAAGCATGCCCTTCCGCACCGCGGTCCGCACCACAGCTCCATGATTCTCATGACCCAAATGCAAACCAGTGGCTCTGGCTCCTTCAAATGACTCACCTTGTAGTGCTCATGGGCTCCAGGCCGGGCCACAGACGTTCGCTTCTTGTCCACAATGGCCACTGCACAAGTGCTGGTGCGAGCTGGATCGACCATGTACCTGCCCCCACTGTGGTCGATGGACAGAAATGACACTGAGCAGTACCAATACCAAATGGTTTCTCTAGGACTCTAAGACCAATGTCATGGCAACAATAGAACAGCCGCCCTCACACCACCCTCCTCACTCATTTCTAGTTTGACCCCTTTCCAACGATTCAACACCATCCGCAAGATGGTTCTTCTGCATATGCCGTTCTAATTCCTCATCCCGCATCTTTGTGCTTTTCCCCTTTCCTCCGTCCCCCCTTCTGTCCCGAAGCCCATGACCAGCCTGGTGACCACACCCTCTTGCTGACATACCTCAGTGAGGCGGCGACCATAAGCATCGTCTCCCACGCAGCCGAGGTCCGCAGTCATCTTCGCCTCCTGCGCCAAATTCCGGGCAATGAGCTTTAACATGCTTCAACCACCAAAGAACCAAAAGCCGCACGATTCAAAAACTTGACAAACTGACCTTCAAGATCTGCATGATAGACTATTATAGATTTCCATGCTTAGATTCCAAAGCATGATAGATGATAGATCCACTTCAATCCAAAAGAGCAAATTGGCCCCTGTGGCTAAATCCGACCTGCAGCATCCACTGAGCCACCCGGATCGAGTTTTGTGTGGCTCCACCCGCCACATATTTGGCCTCAAAGGCAAGTGAAAGCCCCAAAACATCCCAAAACTGTATTCACTGATTCACTGTATTCAGGAAGTGCTCTTTCTGCGACCCAATACACAAAATGCACCTGCTCCATCTTCTCCAGTTCCTGCAAAAGTTGGTCGTGCTTCATGTCCTTCTGCTCGTCTCCAGATAGTGCCTCCCCGTGCTGCAAACCATATTTGTCCAGGGTCTCCTGAAAGCCACAAGGCCAGCTGCAAACTCGGCATGCCATACATCAGCGCCAACCCCCAGGAAGATTCTTGGCCTGTGGAACTTTGGCCGTGATTTCCAAGACCGGGTTGCCAATGCTCACGATCACGGGGCTCTCCTGCAAAGCTCAAGTAGGGTAACCGCAGTGAAAAAGAGCTTGGTGGTATTCCTGACAAAGCCAACCCAGAGGTGTCCTGCTGCACTTCTTCCTCCTGGCATGAAGCGTTAGCCCTTCCCCAGGGCAACTCAGGACACTTGACACTCAATGGGAAAGGAAGCCTAAGACGACACTCAACTACAAGCTACCGGTAACACCGCCTCTCTTCCCATCCCTCTCTCTCTCTCTCTCTGCCTCTGGTGTTCCACCGCCTCTCATCAGCAGCGGCTCCTTGTCATTGGCCTCCGGCTCCTCGAACTGGGTCACCGAAGCCAAAGCCTCGCAAATCTCAGAGTAGCTCCTCAGCGACCAAGGTCAGCATGTTTTGTCGTATTCCCGACACCTGTTCTTCTGACAATTCGTTGACTTGACATCAAGCCAAACAGCAGGGATTTCAATGCCCTGACCCTTAGGTTGGGTTCCTGTCTTAGAACACCACCCCCATGCTGTCCCAGGATCTTGCTGAAAGCTTCATCGAAAGGCCTCAGCGGGGCAATAACAGTTATTTCAATGAATGCATCAATCTAGCGAAACCACAAGTTCGCCCAATGAGGCTTTCAGAATGGCATTCAATGGTCTTACTGAGTCTTCCTGCTGAAGTGCCGAGCTATGCAACATCCAAAGCCCACCAGGCCTCTTCCCGAACTCATTGCAAACGTTGGGATTGGCTTTAGTGGCAACCAGGGCCTTCACCACTTCGAGATGACCATTCAAGGAGGCCTGGAGTTTTGAGTGCCGGTCCACAGAGTGGCGGACAAAACTGTACGTCTTCGATCTTATCATATTAAATCGTAAAGGCACGGCATTTCGTTGAAAAATGAGATGCGAAGACTAAACTCTTGAGCATGGATGCTCCTTAGCTTCTCTCCTGCGGCGGCCGTCATGCCAAACATGCTAAACCTCCTAACAGCCTAACGCGGGAACGAACGCTACAAAGCGAGGCGAATGATAAAATTGCAAAATGACAGGACACTGACACCACGGCGCGTGACAAAACGAAGTACAACATTTCCTGATATTACAAACTAAGGACTACTCTGATTTACCAGTTGACCGAGCTTACATTTGCCCAGACAAGTGTAACAGTGGAACATCTGAGACTAAACCGCGGAGAGCCAGCTGGTGTACACCGACCCACGCCTAAAAGGAAGAACTTGAGGCCAGAGGGGGTGAACGAAAGCTAGCCGGGCTTCCGGTGGTCTGCTGCTGGTGCTGCTGCTGCTGGTGCTGCTGCTGCCGCTGCTGCGCTGGGCGCTGCTGCGCTGTGCTCTGCAGGCGCCGGGTCGTCTGCTGCTGCTGCTGCTGCTGCTGCTGCTGCTGCTGGCGCTGGGTGGTCTGCTGCGGCTGCTGCTGCCGCGGCGTTGGGTATGCTGCTGCTGCTGCTGCCGCCGCTGGGTGGTCTGCTGCTGCTGCTGGTGCTGCTGCTGCTGCTGCCGCTGCTGCGCTGGGCGCTGCAGATGCTTGGTGTGCTGCAGCTGCTTGGTGGTCCCGCTCACCGCGCGCAGGGGGGAGTCGAACCGCAGGGGGGGGGGGAGGGGGGGGGTCCATAAGATTGATTTAATCAATTATTTGAGGTTTCTGAGGTGCGTCCACCCCGTCACTTAACTTGCTAAAGCAAGAGCAACTCCAGCTAGCTAAGGCTAGCTTTCGTGACATTGAAATGCAAATGAATCAAACTTGATGAGCTTCCCATTGATGCATCCCAGGTGCCCAGTGCAGTGGGCAGTTGCCAGCATCATTGGCCAAGTCGGCTGAGGCCCTTGCTTCCAGCAGACAACCTTTGATTCCAAACCGTGCAAATGGATCACCCACTGACATTTCCACACCCCGAGCATGGAGCACCAAGGTCACCAAGCCCAAAAAATCGAAGGTTCCCTTCAGGGCATTCAGTAGAAACAAACCGTCAAGAATTCCGTGGGGAGTGCAAACATCACCACACGCGGAAGACAGAGATTGACGCACGATGCGATGCCCCAACAACGGCCATCTCCAGGTGACGCACGATCTCCAGGTGCCCATTGGCGCTGGCCATAAGAAGTGCCGTGGAGCCCCCATGGCTTTGACCATTCACCTGGGACACGCAACACTCAAAACTGTGTCAGTCACAAAGGATTTGAAAGGATGATGGATTGTAGGAGACCGAGCACTCACAAGGTTATTGCCTCTAGCATCCTCTGGGCCGCACCTCCACACCAGCCTTCAGTGCTTCCTGGACTGCCTCATCATCGCCATAGCGGGCGTCCAGAACAAACTCCACGACCTGCCGGTCGGGATGCGCCAACAAACCACTGGTGGAACCTGGGACCACCAAATCAAGGGAACGTCATAGCCGCATATCGGTCGCCAAAATCCTGAACTAGCCCACTTCCCCCCTGCAACTGACTGGCTGACCATCACACCATAGACACCACGAGGGCCTCTTGAGGCGGCTCCATCGGTGTCTTTCGAGCCCAAAACTGCGGTCACACCGAACCGTCCAGGTTCACAGCAGCAATTGGACACGCGGTGCACAGCAGCTTAACGACCCACCTACCCATATACTGAACTACCCCAACCTTGGCTCCGTCTGCGAGGTTTGAGAGGGTTGGATTCTCAAGTGCTCCATCCACTATCATCCACTATCTACCTCCTGCCTTCAGCCGCAGGCTCAGCGAGTCTTCCGCTGCAAACCACAAGGCTGCAAGTCCAGTCACAACTTGGACTTTTCCTCATCGTCGGGTCACCCCGTGCCCTTTAGAGGTTCGAACAATCAACTCACAACTCACTGAGAGGCATTGGCTATGATGTGACTGTGAATTTGAACGATGGAGCTGCCAGGAATGTAGCATAATGTAGCAACATCCATCAAAATCACTGATGTGTGAAGCCTGGAAACGGCAAGGCCAAGCGTCAAAGCCCTGGAAACGGCAGAGCTCTCCAAGAGGCCGTCGCTCTGTGGGCATAGTGCTGAGCTTGGAGCCTGGATCAGCGTATCCCAACGCCACTCCGCACCTGGTGGGATGCACTACGAGGAGTCTGCGGTGCGCGGCAGAAATGCAGAAAGAGATCCAACAGGACTAAAGGGAACATGCATTCATAATGTTCATACATCTTGAGTCCTTGAGTCCTGAAGGGAACTGGCTGAACAGCCAAGCTACCACACCACTTCCCTATCCATCGCAATGTTCAGTGTATCGTAGACGCAGCTGCCCAAGTTGCCCCAGGCTTCGAGCATAGCAGTCGCGAGGCCATATTGCACTGCCAGCAGGGCCAAGCTTTGCAGGAACATGCCCGTGTGGCCCCAAGCATTCTTATCACCCCCACCTGCAGCTAGCACTGCCATTTCCACCAAAACTTTAAACACCAGTGGCACATGCTCGCATTATGTACCTTTTCGCATTACCTTCAGGTTGCATTTCCCCATACAAAAACACACAACTTGCCATCCAGGCACGATCCACCGTCACGACCATGCCCACTGGCGCTCCCCAAAAGCGGAAGTTCTCCACCAACGCCTTGGCGCGGGCCGCCTGGTCTTCACGCTGCACTCCCATGAGATCCCACATGTCCTGCGCCACCTTGATGCGGCGGCTCATGTAGGCCTGGTGCGAGACTATCCGAGCAAACGGAAAGACACCAAATTGTGACACCATGAGACTTTGGGCTGTTGCTCCATTTTTGCCGGGTCCAATCCGGGTCCAAGCTTGATCGCTTGAAAAAAAACATGGAGTGTCCACTGTCGACCTTTGACAAGCTCGGTTGCCGTAGTGAAAATTGTTTTCGTACGCGTCCACCTTGTGAAGGTCGTCCGGAAGATCTCCTTTGCTCGGATACACCTTGTACCTTGGCTCCGCAGTTTTGGGCATCGTAGTCAGGCCAGGAGCCCCTAGTAGCGTCCTTGCTCCTTAGTAGCGATGCCAGGAGCCCCTAGAGTAGCGTCCTTGCTCCTATTACGCCCGGCTCATCTTGACGCACTGGTCTGATCGATGCAAATGATCGCTCCCAAATGGTTCCCTCGATCCAAGGTGCTCCAACGGGCTCATGGTCCCGGAGCCGAAGTGCTTTATCACCGCTTCCGTTAGAGCTTGGAGATGCTTCCCAGTGAGAACCTGAACGTGGCCATGTGACCAGCACACTTAGCCAGGTCAACCCAAGTCGACGGCAAAGGATTCCAACAATCTGATCTTGGGAATCTGTGAACCATGTCAGCTGGAAAGTTCAGAATGGGTTTCAAATCAATTACCAACAAGCATAAACAGGTTTTAAACAAGCCACATAAAGGTGCCACGGCTGCGTGTTCCCCCCGGAGGGTGCCCGATTGGCCGTCTCCAGCAGTCGCTCCAAGAGCTCCACGGAGACCGCGCGCGGCAAGAAGGCACGACAGGTGCATCGCTCACGTAGTGCCTGGAGCAGAGCGAGTCTGTTTTGGGAGGTGAGCACTGGTGAACTCTTGAAGGATATCACATGATACTTGATATCAATGAACTCTTGTTGGGCAGAAGGCATTCTAGTATATAAGGATGTATACGTATTCGGGTATACACACCGTTGACCTACAGTCAAAGTTTTGGAACAAACTCTAGCAGCCTGGTCGTGCCAAGAATGCGGTTGTCGGTTGTCGGGCAATGAGTCTCAGGCTTGAAGCTTGAAAAGACCCCGTGGTTCCATGCCACGTGTTAATTCCATTGGTCTGCGCATCTGCCGCCGTCCAGCATTCTTGCTTGCCGGCCTCGGCGACATCCATGGCTCGGTAGCTTTCCAGGTGTTAAGTGCAATGTGATATTCTCACCAGGGTCAGTAAAGCCATAAAGCCCAATTAGTCGCAACCACCAACTAGCACGCACTGAAGGCACTTTTCATGGTGTTGCATGGCAAATGTTGTCCCTGCAGGAGGTGAACCGTTTTTCCATGAGTGACTCTGCATGTTCACAGGGGTCACAGGGGTGTGCTTAGAATTCCAGCATCTTTTTGCTGGAGGCGGGTTTGGTGTGCTGGAAAGCCGCAACGAACTCACTAATCTTCGAGTGCATCCTCTGGAAATGACTGATGATCATGCACGCAAGCACCACAGCACAACTTCAAGCATTTTTGTTCTATTCTGACTTTGAATCCTGCTTGGCAGTTCTCAAGTTCTGGAACGGTTAGCTCTGCTTCGCACGGTCAGAGCAATGCTGCTTCTTGAGTTGATGCTTGAGTACAACCAGAACCATCCAGCAGGTAGGCTGGCCTAAAGCGTCAAAGCCAAAGAGGCACTCTTCCCGTCTGTGAAGTCTTCGGCATGAGCTGCAGGAATAGCAGAGTTGCAAATGTTCTTCAGGCTCTTATGGCAATTCCACATCCTTTCCTTTGCCAAGTAGTCGGGCCACAGGGTGTATCTCGTTGATCGGAGTCTGAAGTCCGCCATGATCGTCTCATTGGTCTCATGGCATTGGTCTGCGCGTGCTATGGTCAGTTCTACATGTTGCCCTTCGGCCTGCACATTGCACCCTATGCCCCTATGCATCTGCAGTCAAGAACTTGAAGCGATGGAGCTGCCCATTGTGTCACTACGGTTTTCCAGAGCCCAGCATCCCACTGATTCCACAGTTTGTGGTCCTGAGTCTGGCCGTCGTGTTGGAAGGGGGATGCTCCAAAACCAACGCTAAAGTCGCTATAGTCAACACTGCTCTTAGGGGACCACGGGTTCAGTTCGTAACCTGTTTAACATCAGCAAACCACGAAGGAACCCAGGAAGGAGAGTGCGGCACAGTGGCGGAACGCCCTGCCGGAGCAGCGAAGGAACCCACGCATGCCTCAGCTAATCGAATGAGGGCACAAGAGCCCTCCATCTCCCATGCGGAGAGGCACAAGAGCATGGGATTTGGTACAAGAATGCGGAAGAGCAAGACCTGAAATCATGAAGAAGGCAAGGTTCTTGCTACCTGCCTCACATTCGGAACCTTTCCATTCAACTCTGGCCTAGACTCAAGCCCACCAAACTCCAGACATTCATTCCCACTCTGTGAGGCAAGTGGCGTACAGACCTCGTCCTGCATCCCTGCGCTGCCACTGGCTAGGTTTGGCACTTTCAAGCATGCTTCCTTCGTCACCGCCCATGACTGGCAATGATCCTCAGCACAGGCCACTTGGTCTAGCCGAGACAAAAGCATTCCAGTCCGGCCACCAAAGAGAATCCTCACCTCACCTCCATCAGAAAGTTCAGAATGAATCAAAGGCAAGGTCATGACCAACCTACTGGGGATAGCTCATCTCATCATGTGACTCCGGCTGCCAGTGACAAAACAGAAAAAAATAGACGAAAAACATATGTTTTATTTTACATATTGCATTTCTTCTTGTTCACATCACCACTTCCTTTCACATTTCGACGTCCCCCCAACCATCGGCAAGCCACGTCCACCGGGCAGCTCTGCACAAAGGCCGCCACCTGGCCCAGGGCATCAGCACTCGCACGGTCCGCCAGCAGGAAGGCATCCCCCAAGCCGCCACCGATGGAGCCGCAACTGGGGATGGGGAGCAGCCGGACCAGCTTATGGAGGGGTTTTGGCAAGAAGAAAATCAAATGCATCGTAGGGCTCACAAAGTGTTGATCTTGGTCTGCCTTCTTTTCTGTTCAGTGGGCTTGAGAGACGTGGGTCACAAATCCGAGGCAGGAAGAGATCCGGTTTCATGTTTGACACATCGCCACGTGTGAATCTGAATCCAGTAACGCTGTTAGCAGAGCCATGGTGCGGTATGCAAAGATTCCTTTTTAGACGGGAAGCGCTTGGGCTTTGGAAAGTTGATCCGGGTGGTATCGTTCTGTCTGTCTGTCTGTCTGTCTGTCTTCCTTCCTTCCTTCCTTGCTTTCTTTCTTTCTTTCTTTCTTTCTTTCTCTCTCTCTCTCTCTCTCTTTCTTTTTATATATTTCTTTCTTTCTCGTTCTTTCCCTTTCTTTCTCTCTCTCTCTCTCTCTCTTTCTTTCTCTCTTTCTGGCTGCGATAAAGCACCAAGCCGACGACCTTCCCAGGTGGTCCAACTGAGGCCACGACATGTTGGGAACGGAAGCGTTCACTGGTGCTCTGGCAGCGTCCAATCCTCAATACATCTGCAAGCGGCTTGGGAACAAAGTGGGCCATTGGCTCAAGTGTCAGGCAACAGCTCTCTCTCTCTCTCTCCCTCTCTCTCGCTCTCTCTCTCTCTCTCTCTCTCGGCATGGCGAAAACGCAGCCAAAGGCGACAGCTGTTGCAGGATGAATGTCACTCTCTCAGGCTGCTGCTGCTCTTGAGAAGCCGCCCCAAGGAGCTTGCGTACGTGACGTCAGGGCGAATCCTGCAGATTCTATGTTGGCCACCCCTATGTTCGACCGCTTCTCCCCAAGGCAGAGAAAACCATATCAATCTGGCCTCACCACAAGGGCGAAGTGCATATCGAATTCATCCTCATAGGCCCTCATGAGCTGCAGTGCGGCCTTGATCTTCATGTACTGCAAGGGCAAAGCATAAACACGACCTTGAGGCCCAAAGCCGGAAGCGAAAAGTGATTTTAGTGCTAGTAGTGACAAGGGCAGGATGCTACTAGTAGCTGGGGCATAACTACTAGTAGCAAGAAGCTCCTGAAGTGAAAGTATGTCCTGTCTTGCAGCTCATCCTGGTCTTCCTATTGCCTTGCCAAGTGTGCTGCTTCAGGCCCATCTTCCCGCAAATCAAACCCCCGGTGTGTGGGAAGTGTGGGCTTAGCTCTTGATTGGGATAGCTTTCACTCAAGTCTTTTGGCCCAGTCGCGGAGTTTGTGGTTCACCAGGCACTTGGCTCGGAGGTCCCGATAGGCCGCGGCCTTCTCAGCGGCTCCCCATTCCACGAGTGTGTAGTTGCCTAGCCGCACTGGCACTGGCTTGAAGAAAAAGCTCAAAAAAATAATAACAAAGACGCTACGAGCGTAGCTCCTGGCCGTACTACTAGGAACAAGAAGCTACTAGTAACAAAGGGCATCGCTACTAGTAACAAGGACGCTACTAGTAATCTCGGTCGGTGGCCCGGCCGACCATCCGTACGCCTCCGTACACCTCCAGCATCTGTCGCACGTCCTTGTCCTCAAAGTCCCGCGTTTCATTTTTGCTGCCCCGCCAGCTGAAGCCGAACCTTTTGCCAAAGAAAAGATTGACCAGACACCAGACATCGTTGCTGGATCGTAACTCAAACCACAGAAATCGGTGGACGCATACGGTTAATGATTCAGGACGCTGCTTTATTATCTTTATTTTTGCAATTGGTCTCAGACAACTGGCCTGGTGTACTCCAAGACCGCGAAGATGTGGTACATGGTGGATGCACCAGCCAACTCCTGGCTCGGCCCTCGGCAATGGCATCTGAGCAACCCCTCACAACCAGATCTTTCCTCTGCCTGCGACTTCTCACGAGCATTAGCGGATGTTGAAACAGAAAAAGGACATCCTTAATGTTCAAGCACCCCCTGCTTCGGTCCTTGAAGACATTCCTGCGGATGTTCTGCGCCACATATTGTTTGGTCCCATCACGCACCTAATTGCACAGGATGAAGTGTATCGGATCTCAATTTCTCCCGCTACAAGCCGTTCAGTCCTACCTTCCGCTCGCCAGGTTGGTCTACGTCGTCTACGTTTAGATGATCCCCTAACTCAGGTCCTGCCTGGCCGGTGAGCAGCACTGCCACACCGCTCCACTGGCGCCCGGCTGCCCAATCCGCCTGACGTGCCTCGAAGCTCCTGTCGCGGCTCCCGATCGACCGGTACAAGATCAAGCGCTCTACTTTCGTCCAACAAAAACAAACGCAGTGAATCTGGCCTTCTGATCGTGGGTGACAAATGCCGCCACCACTGTTCAAGGTGTGAAGTCAAGCGCTGGTGGCGAAGATACTCCTGCCTGCAAGCAAGGAGCAAGAGCGTGGAGTATCTTCGCTTTGCGGTGCTTTTTCCTGATGTCTCAAGTCTCGGCCGAAATCGACGGGGGCCGATTTCGTGTGACCAGGGCAAGGATGCCTAGCGGCAAAAGTGCGAATTCCTTCATGACCCTAGTGGCCCAGCGCTTCCCACCTCATCTGTCCAGTGACTGACAATCGCTCAACTGCCTCCTTGCAACAGGCCTCACGGTCACACGTCATCTGCTCAATCGCAGGAACCTTGCCCATTCAATCTTTAATCAGAGCTATTAAAACACCTCGAAACATTTCGAAACAATCTTTGTTGCTAGGGGCGCACTTGTCAGCTCAAAGTAAACCTGCTCCTGGAAAATGAAAAACGCCAATGACAGACCCAATGCCTGTGTGGTCGGGCTCTTTCGGCTGGTGGCCGTGGAGCAATTCCCTGGAACTTCCTTGATGTCCATGTCCATCTCCTGGGCAAATGACCATGCCCATAGTGAAGGCCCATGGGACCGATGACAAAGCAAGCTGTTCAGTTGGTCCAGACAATCTGCACTGCCTGATTTCTGATAAGAACTTCGGGTGGCAAGTCCTGCAGCTCTTCAACCCTTGTCATCCTTTTCAACGAACCGCCACTTCCAGGAGCCACCAGTTTTGGAGCAGCTGCACCTGCTGCCTGCAGGAGAAACACCCTGCCAAAACCACAGGGGCACATGGTGGCTCTTAAACAAACTAGTTCCACTGTTCCACTATCGCAAGATACTCAGAGGTCGCCACCACTCTGACTCACTCTTACGCATTGCGGCGCAGGGGGCACATCCCGAGCCTCATTTGCTGTTGCTCCAGTGGTGGAATAGAAAGGCTCACCACTGAGAGGAGATCCGGTTGCATCTGCATCCTGACGAGGCAGCTGCGCCCTCATCCGAACACTTTGTTCAATCCACTGCCGCTGCTCCCTTGAAGTGTCAACTGTACTTCGGAATGCTGGAGGGTCTGAGAAAAGGACACAGAAACAAAATGGAACCCATGAACCCGAATGCACACACGTACACAAACGGCCAAACACTCTTCAAAGACACTCTTGAAGGACATTCTGCGGTGCCACTCTTGTAGAACACTATTCTTGTGGGACACTCTTGCTGTTGCTGGACACTCTTGTTGTGGATCAAAGCGGGCACTTCGTAGGAGACTAGTCGGGGGTCAAGTCTCCAAAACCAAGCGTTTTGCGGGATCTCTCCTCCAAAACTAACCCGTCACCGTCAATGCCCGTCATGTCTCCAAAACGAAGTGACGCGTCAAGCGCTGAAACAAGCACTTTGTGCGAGATGCCCTCCACAAAATGAAGTGTCAAGCCTTCAAGCCGAGCACTAAAAGCGACACGTCGCCCCTCCAGAAATCACAAAGTGACCTAGCACTTGTCACGAAACCTCAGCTTGAAGCCGGGCCAAGCGTTTCAAGAGAAAAAAAAGAGGACAAATGAGGAGAGAGGATCCTGAAGGCACAGCGACCACCAACACCTCCTAAAGACCACCTTGCAAACGCCAATGACGAATTGCGCCGCGACGAATGGCGCTGACCTCACAAAACGCCGCAGCTGCATGGAGGGACAGCATGTCACGTTTCTACGCAATATCACAACCCCAGACCCCCAATTAGACCAGAACACTTCGCCACGAATTCTGAACAAAACACATGTATGGGCATTTGCCCCAAAACCTGTTGCAGGAATTACAAACGTCCTGCAGCAGCGTCTGTCTCCAAGCCTCTTTTCTTGTTCGATACTACTTGGGCGATACTAACAAAACTTTTGACTGCCAGCCTCTCTCCATGCTGGGCCCGTCGAGGAATCACTTGGAGGACCCCCTGCCGGTAGTGCAATGGCTACATCCGTTGCCTGCACAGATGCAGACATTCTGCCCAGACACACAAGCACCTGAATCTTCTTCAAC